TCCATCGTGAGGTACGTTGATCGATACTGCCAACGTTTCATGTGGTGCGTGCGCAGTCGGCGAGTGGTACTCCGCTCCGTCCAGGCACGGCTCCGCTTCAACACCATAAGCCTTGGGGGAAGGGGGACCTGTGTCCGTCTGTTCATCGGTAGAAATTATATGCTACGCACGTTTGCTTACGTGTCGTTGGTACATAGAATAGTGTTGGTTAGATACGGGACTTTCGGGAGGCAGCCCGAAATAATTAGTTCGGGTGTGAGAGGAGTGTGAGCGTGAGCTCAGTGTTGGCGAGGTGGCGCGTCTTGCTTGGAGCTTTTGCTTTAGCTTGTTCGTCGTTGGTTCCCCGAGGTATGATTTGGACTGCGCACGGGTTCTTGAGGTGTTTTTGCCGCATTCGTCAGTACCAAGTAGTCTTCGTTCTCTTCCGTCACCTTTTGTTGTCTTTGAGAAACCGTATGAGTTTCTGGATGTGTTTTTTTCCCTGCGCGAAGCGTGTTTGGTGTCATGCATGTCATTACATAAATACCGTGCGTCGCCTACCTCGGTGAATTTGTAAAATTCGGAACGATGAGGCGCTGGCCTGAAGAGTAACCGTTTGTTTTTCTGGTGTGGTGACCACGCAGAATTCGACGGTGTGCGAATCGCGTGACGTGTGGAACTGGGAAGTCTCACGCAACCACATAGTTGAACATGTAATGTTCGAATCGGTACAAATATGCTACAGCAGAGGATGGATTGAGCACCAATCAGCTCAACCAGACCTGTGCGGCTCTTAGAGCGCCGTTCCCGCAAAGTCTACCGTGTGTCCGCCTTTGACCCTTTGCCAACTACATGGGGAAGAGTGCGATCGGCGCATTCAAGCTCGACCGGAGCCATGTGGGTGCATCCGCCTTTGGTCCTTCACCACCTACCCCTGATCATGATCAAGTGGTCGATATGGACCTATTCATTCTTCAGTATGGACCATCTTGCTTGAGTTTCACACGCGGATTCGAGGTAGCGGCGTATTTTCCCCTCACGTTGTCCTTTTCCGCCGTTTTCATTTTTGTCCTCTTTTTTTTTGCTATGACCTTGCAGGTGTGAGCTCAATTATTGTTTCCTTGTTGTAGAACAGCGAACAAGGTTGGATTTTTTGAAGGAAGTGTTGTCCAGTTGGGGTGAAACACTAATCAACCACGAACAAAAAAACTGAGGAATAATGATGCCTGTTTTGCGCTGAAAGCGGTAGGTGTAGTCGAAAATGGTCCAAAATCGCCCAGATTGCCCTGGAGATGACCCTGTAACCATGGGGAGCGGGGGGGGGGGGGG